AGAGAAGAGCAAATCCCACCGGTGACTTCTCCAGAGCGTTGCCTGGCTTATCATCCAAATGAACCGCCCCCCCAACAGAGGACAGCCACCCAGGGCTGGGTGTCACCCCCTCTTGAGCACAGATGCCCACCACAGGGCTGGTGGCCCTGAGGGAGGAGGGGAGGGGGCTGCAGCCCTGCCGGGTAGCACGAGCTGGGACCAGGCCGTGAGCACTATGCCCATGCTGGGGAAAAATCCTCCCTAGTGAATTCACAGAGTTTGCTCCAATCTAGTGCTCAAATTCTTCTAATTTCTTCCAAACTGGGCAGCCCTTTTAAACCTCGCTGGATAACGCTGCTCACACTGCTCTGTATCTGCTAATGAAAAAAAGTAACGTGGTGGCACGGGATTCTGCGAGTCTTGAGCAGGGACCTGAAGCTGCAGGCGGATTACTACGGCAGGTACCCCATTTGGTGATAATGGCTGAATTAACATTTCACTCCCCACCAGAGTCTAAGCTATCTCTACAGGAACAGCTGCTAAACTATTTGCAAAGTTCAAAGAGTACGTATTAATATTTTTTTTTTTTTCCCCGAGTCACATTCTTCAGATTCCCATGTAAGCTCCTTAGAAAAGGCCGCGCCAGCTGTTGAAGAATGAAGATTACAATGTCCCGCTAATGCAGCGCTGGAGATGTTTAAAGGTATTGTTATTTATTACTGCTCCGCAGGCAGGGCCACACTGGAAGGGGTTAAAATGGGGAAGAAAACGTCGCTTTGCCGAACAGGTGTCCTTGAGCAGTACCCAAGGACACGGAGATTGCTAATCCTGTATTCCACAGCATGATCAAATCACCAGGCAACAGATATAAATAAAAAAAGGCAGGAAATAGGGAAATTTAGATACAAGTGTGTCAGAGGGAAAATGAAGATTCATTGTGAAGAGGCTGAGAAGAGAAGAAGAAGAAGGAACAAAATGACAAAGGCACAAATGATAAACCAGTAAGAACGAAAGAAATGGGGGAGGGTGGGGAAGCCTCTCTGTGAAATACATGTTTGTGACAGCAGCAGCCAAATCAAAGATGCTCTTAGATTATATGGTTTCTTGCATAATATGCGTTCTGGGTCCCGCGTGGTGTTTGTCTTTCAGCTAGCGCACAGGGAAAAAACCGTATCTGAAATGGGACGTGAGCAACCTTTATTTTGCTTGTTTCATCAGGAGGAGAAAGCAAATTTGCTCTGTGGGAGCAGCAGCACCTGCTCAATGGCAAATAAATAGCTACAGCTTTGATATTACAGTGCATATAATCATTAGCAGCACAAATGGCAGAGGATTAACCCTCTGCCTGCTGGCCTGAGCTACCTGGCAAAGGGGTGGCATCGCATTTCTGTTCCATGTAGCATCTGGGGGGCAAGTGCAGCTGGAGCTGGGCTGGGTGGCACAAGACCCCCCTCCCTACCCCAAGGCATGGGCTGTGTTGCACCGGCAGCATGGCAACCAGCCACCGGCACTGGGCTTTCCTTGCCCCTGTGGCACTGGCATGGCGGCCACCCGTACATCACACCTCTGTGCATGCCGGAGCTAGGAGGGACGGACGGACACGTCGGCAAGCACAGCAGGGCACGTGCCGGGGGCTGCTGACATGTGCTGGGGATCACAAGCTCAAAATTCCCTGGCTGAGGTTGGGTTCATCAGCCAGCTTGCTTTGAACCCCCTCCCTGGTTGCTCCCTGCCTCTTCTGCCTGCTTTCCTCCCACAAGGCAGGATCTGAAACACACTCAGGGATGGGGAAATGCTGTGCCTGTTGGAAAGTGGAAAATAAGGTTTGTAATCCTCGTCTGAAGCAGAAACTAACAGGGATATAAACATCTGCTTAATAAGTCCATGGTGGGGCTGGGGTCTGCACATCAGCCGTCTGGAGACACAATGGTCTGAACATCTCAGGTTGGAGGGATCCCAGCCCAAAATCACATTCTCTAGCCTCAAATCCACCCTCTTCCCTCATGCCAGGAAGAATGGAAGCTTTCTTTAACTAAAACCTTGGTCCTAGTTGAGCAAGAACATCCAGGGCTGACCACTTCCTTGCCTGCTTTGCCATTGCTGCGTTGGCTTTTCCCCGGCTTGTCTTCTGCACCGCTTTCTGCAGTGAGGGTATGAAGACGCTCAAAGCCATGCTGCCACTAGAGCTGGAAGCAGCGCACCGGGTGAAATACTTCCCTTTTCCACCCTCCCACCCCTGCCCAGAGCACGATGCTCCTGCCTGGCGATGAGCCAAACCATGGTCCAGTACAGCCACGTGGCAGCCTGGACTCCCAGGTCTCAGCAGGATTTTGGCCAGCGACGGCATCACCGTGTAGCTGTCCTGCTCAGTCACCATCCCCTCCCGAGAGGTGCCAAGAGAGCGCTTGGCAGGGGCTGCTTGCCTTCAGCGTGAATGCATGCATCGTGTCCTGCAGCCCTCAGGAGAAAGGACCTGCAGGACATCCCACACACTTGTTTTCACATATTAAAGATAATTTGTTGATGATTTTTTTTTCCTTTTTCCTCTTTTTCCTTTCCATTGCATTGCCTTATAAATCTAAACAGACTTGACTGGGGATGCTGGCAGGGGAAAGCAAACAGGGACTAAAATAAACTCCCTTCCAGCCAAACACTTCAAGAGTGAACGTGCCCCATCGCACAAACCAACGATACAGTGCCAGAGCCAAAGATAAATAGCGTCCCTCCAGCCGGAGTCCCGGGCAGGGAGGTAGCTGTCATGAGAGAACAGTATACAGCTGGAGACAAAGCCAGGAAGTTAATATTTAAGCATTCAGACAAGGAACAAATGACTTAATTAAATCAATTACAGAGGGAGAAATGGACCCACTTAGAAAGCGTGTGTAAAGAGACAGCAAGGCTGCTACTATCTCATGGAGGAGAAGAGAGAGTTAGCAGGGAAGATAAACGGACTGGTCTAATCCCTGCTGTTAATTAAGAGCTGAGCATTTGCACTGCGCTGAGTCAGGTCACTCCAGCACTTCCATTATATAAACCACATTTGCAGCCGAGCTCCATGCCCAATCTACAGAGATATTTGTAACCAGATGGACTAAGGGAGAGGCAGACCAAGATGTTGGGAGGGTTGAAAGCAAGAGGAAGAGGTGACATAAAAACTTTTCCATGCTCCTGAACCTCCCACACCTTGCACCCATAGTCCAAACTCAGCCCTTGCCCTGCAGCTTCCCGGGCAGCAGGGCTGGGGCAAATGTGCTGCACAAGGAGGGGACCTTCTTCCCTTCTTCAGCACGAGAAATTCCCACGTGATCCCCCAGTAACCGGTCCAAAGAGCTAAAAAGGGAGGATCATGAAAACATCAAAGCAAAGGATGGGCTAGAGGGGGTCAAGAGCAGGGCCACCAAGGTGATCCAAGGACTGGGAAGCCTCTTTCAGCCATATGAGGATGGGCTGAGAGAGCTGAGTTTGTTCAGCCTTGAGCAAAGGAGGCTTAGAGGGGATCTCATCACCACGTACCGGTACCTAAGGGGGAGCTACAAGGAAGATGGCGACTCCCTTGTCACAAGGAGAGGACAAGGAGGAATGGACACAAGTTGCTCTTGGGGAGGTTCCGGCTGGACAGGAGAGGCAAATGCTTGACCATGCAAAAGCTCAACCATTGGAATAATCTCCCCAGGGATGTGGTTGGCTCCACCACATTGGACACGTTCAAGCTTTGTTTGCTCAGCTGGACAGGGTGCTGGGCCGTCTTGTCTAGGCTGTGCTCTTGCCTGGAAAGGTTGAACCAGATGATCCTTGAGGTCCCTTCCAACCTAGGATTCTACGATCTATGATTCTATGATTTAGCACTTTGCACAGTATGGAGCCTCCAAATGGATCAGCAAAAGGGCTTTCATCCCAGAAGATGCCTTGCTCTTATTCCCAACTTGGTGTGGGGAGGAAAGCAAGGCTATTTCCTAGCATGCCTTCTGTTTAAATGACTTTTTTTCCTCCCTGCTGCTCCTTCCCCAAATGTGGCTGCTTCAGATGCTGGCCGTGGACACCCTATGGGAGATGGGGCCACCTGAAGTTGAGAGCCAGGCTCTAAGAGAAGGGCTCACCGCTCATGGGGTTGGATTGCCAGTTAACACATGTTTGGGTTCAGAGACACATCAGGCGCGGTGTCAGATCTCACTCTGCCCGACAAAAAGTCATACTTGCTATGGAAAGTGTTCCCTGGGGTTTTCTTAATAGGCAATAAGCAATTACAGGCTTTTGTAACTCACTCCCCATCAACCAAACAGTTAAAGCAGGACCTAGAAGTCTCTGTGTGAAGCAGACTGAAAGTGGCTGACAGCTTTGGGGCAGGAAGGTTTCCTCTGCCAGGCCACTTCAGACATCTCCTTCCTAAGCTTTTAAAGCCTTAATGTTAGGTTTCAGGCCAGCGATGTAGAGAGTTAATAGTTTTTAGCCCATTTGCCATCACTCCTTGCAAGTAAATAAGCAAGTACAAACCCATCTCCCATCTCAGGCTGTAAGAACCCCACATCAGGGAAAGGCCACTGATGTTTTTGCAAAGTATGGTCTTATCAAGAATAATTAGTTGCCACAAAAATTTGCTCTTCCCCATGTATCAGAGATTTTTCTAAAATAGGGGCAGAGGCAAAGCAAACTTAGGGCATCCTTCTGCAGCCCCATCCAGCCCTGCCTGCACTGTGGGTTGGGCCCTCCCTCCTCAGGGCATCGGGTGGCAAAGACCTGTGTGTGCAGGGCACCCCGCGGAGGCGTCCCAGGGCCAGGTCACATCGCCTCCACACCGGCTCAGGGCTGGTGGTGCGGTACGCAAACCACTCGAGCATCGCTTCAAGTGGCAGTGGGCACTTCAGCACCGATCCTGAAAACAGGGCTCCTTTCTGTGCATGCACTTCAGCCTGTTTAAGCCCCTGGCCATGCTCCTAACGTGCCTGGGGAGACTCTGACCCTCTCTACCATGGAAAAACACATTTCAACAGTTGAAAGAAAAAAAAAAGAGATCAGTAACTCACTTGTTTTTGTTCTTCTCCCAAACTGTCCCACATTGACGCAACAATTTTCGATACGTCTCCGAAGGTAGCATTGGGGTTTTGCCCTTTGATGGCTGCTTGCGTGTCTCTGAAAAACAGGGCGTAGGCTGATACGGGCTTCTGGGGCTCATTGGGATCCTTCTTTTTCTTCTTCTTTTGGCTTTTGGGCTTTTTGCCCAAGTCTGTTGATGGTCTTTTCTCTCCAGTGACCTGCAAAACCAAGAGATGTCCCTCAGCGGTCAGCTGGGAGTGGTCTGATATGAGTCCCTGCTAGAGATTCTTAGCAAAGGAGGAGAGAGAGGGCATGGGCAGAGAAGGGCTCCCAGCGCGGCAAGGGGGGAAGCAGCCCTGGGCCCCCCTGGAGCCTCCAGGATCATCACACAAACTGCTGGTGGGTGCCTGAGCCCAGGTTGGGTGCCTCCTCACAGCCTGGTTCACAGCTCGGGTTTGCCCCTTGCTGCCCCGGTGGTCCCTGCTCCAAAGCTGAGGCTTTCCAGACACTCATCCTTGGTCCCCACTTCCCCTTCCTCCTCCCCAGCACCACAAGCTCACTCTCCCCCTGATCTTTTTCTGAGACCTCTCCAAACACCTTGCTTCCCAGCCAGATCCTTTTAGCAGGCCATGAATTTTTCCAAACTCTGCTTCCACATGGTTTCTGATTTCCAGCCCAAAAATCCCCCCTTTGCAAGCTGCTTTTGACTTTTCTCGCCCGCATGTGTGCTGGTGGCAGACCCTCCCCACTCCTGAGGCAGGAGGGTCATGAGCACCTGCCAAGCAGCACCAGCATCTCATTAGCCATCACACCAGGGCCATCCAAAATTTATTTCACCCTGCTAACACATATGTACACCTATCCAGTAATTATTTTAGTCTTATGCATTGAACACTTTGCATGCACCGTTCACTCTTTACAACCAGGCTGGGTGTAGCCAGATGACTAGGTCTTGCTGTAGCCGTGCTAGATGCCCTATGGGTGGTTGAACCAAGGGGAACAGGACACAGTTGGACTTTGTGGCTGCTCAGCACGAGACACTGTCATCAGGCAGGGAAGTAAAACAGCAAGGTGGAAACGGGGATGTTTCCAGTGAAGGCAGCATGAATCCTATGGCTAAGCCTCCACCGGGATGCCCTGGGCAGCGTGGTGAATATATGGGACGGCAGACGCCTCGACATGTTGGTGTGCCATGGAAGAGACCCCTGGAAAGAACTTGGACGCACATCAAAGCTCTCAACGCATTAACTGTGGACAGCGAAAGCTCGCACCACAGGGAAGCACCATTATCCTTATTTCATAGCAGAGGGAAAGCTAAATACACCAGTGGTTAAACACAGCAGAGAATAAAACCACTGCCAGCAGGCTGCTGCAGCCTGGATCTCTGCATCCTCGAGGGCAAACAGGCAGCACCTCTGCCTGCAGACCCACGGTGCACCAAGGGCTCAGGCACTGCCTGACTTCGGCAGCCCCTGCTCTGCCGGGTGCACGGGCTAATTGCATTACTTAGAAAGTCGCCCGGTCTGTCAGTTAGAGGTCTAGAAAAAACAATTAAAAAAAAAAAATCAATTGACACAGGTCTAAACACCAAGCCGTTGTGAAAACTGTGCCTCCCGGCGAGCACTGGGAGCAAAAGGCCTTTTCTCCTGATGGATTTGCTGATTTGATTGCGTGCTTGGAAGCGCCGGGATTTAAGAGGCTTCACTTCAGCTGGCACGGGGGCAGCCACAGGGAGAAAAGGGCAGCAGCGCTCCTGTTCCCTGCTCAGCAGCTCTTGACTGGTCATTAAGTTCAGTATCAGCGCAGTGACATTTGTCAAACAGACAGTGACCATTAGTGAATGAGCATAGAGACGAAAAAAAATTGCGTTTAATTTAAAATTGCCCAATTGGGCTTGAATGGGAGGCCTGGAGGTGAAAGGCCAGCTTATTAGGAGAAAAAAAATGCATGGCAGGGCTTCAGCCCATTAGCAAGTGAGATGGTATTTTAACTAACTGTAATCCTGTTTGATTCACTTAAGTGCCGTGGGGGGGACCTGCTCTCCTCACAGCCCTTGACCAAGCGAAGGAGCCGGGAACAGGCGCAACGCAACCACAGCCGTGACGATGGCTTTACAGTCGGTCCTGCTTAGGCAGCACCACAGAGCAAATGGTACTTATGGAAAACAGATGCTGCCTGCAAGGCTGCCTGGAGCTGTCAGTTCCCAGGAGGGAGCAGAGCAGATCGGGACTTTGCCTGGTTTTCCTGGGGTTCACCAGCTGTGACACAACATGGGATGAGACAACATCCAGCCCCGGCCTGCAGAAGACGCTTGAACAACCTAAGCTACGTTCAGGACTTCGCTGCCCCAGAGCAACTGCATCCCCCAAGGCTCCCTTCACGTCAAACTGACCGTGAAGGCTCGTGAAGCAGGATGAGGTGCGTGGCCACCAGCCCCTGCATGGACCTGCTCTGGAGAGGCAGCAGAAGGTGCGTTTAACACCAGATGGGGACTGGGGCACTTCACTGGTGAGAGATGTGATCCCATAAACTGATGGCTTGGTGCCTTCTTAGATGTTGAACCCATGAAGAGCAGGAACCTCATGGCCACCATGATTTTGATAACTGGAGAGAGATTGCTAATCCAGCTGGAATCTGGGCTCTCCCTTCCATGCAGGTGTACATCCCCCAAAGCGATGAAGCAGGCAAATGCATCAGTGAGGCTGGGAGACCTCCTAAAATCATTAACTCCCTGGCTCAAAGGACCTGAACTACCTAAAATCATAGAATCATTAAGGTTGGAAAAGGCCTTCAAGACCATCAAGTCCAACCTTCAACCCAACATCACCGTGCCTACGTGCTGGCATCAGACCCATTTCTTTAACATGTGACCTTCTTGGTCACAAGATGAATTTCTGCTTGTTAGACCTTGCTTTGGTGACTTGTTGCAGAAAGGCCCTTAATGGCCACATGAAAAATGGCCGATGGGTGAGTACAGCAGCTGTGTAGATAGAGAAAGCAAACAGAAACCTGCAGGCCACATCGTGGTTCTCCTGCTTTCTTTACGCTTACGGTCTCCTTCCTCCATCAAATACATCACTCCTGTTCCACCTGCTTGCTGAGTGGTTTACAGGGCAGAAAAATAAGGGGGCATGCCTTTAGGATAAGGAAAAATTCAAATCTCTGCAAGTTGTCATAATTTCGACATCTCCAAATTCTTTCTACCCCCACGGGCATCATGGGCTCAAGAAGAACAGAAGATCCAACACCAAAACTGTGTCTTCCCCCGTGCCTCCTGCAGCTCCAGCCGGGAGGGAGGGAGGCTGGGTCACGCTGAAAGAGGCAGAGAGAGACAACCTGGTGGGTAACTAAGCTGAAACTCATCTTCTGCTGACGGGAAAGATTTCAGCTCCCAGGTAATTGCCTGGAGCTGTGTGACACAGGCTCTGGGAGAGAGGCGGACTGAGGGGTCCAGCAACACAACCCGTCCCACAGTGTTCTGGGAGAGAGACAGACCGAGGGGTCCAGCAACACAACCCGTCCCACAGTGTCCCCCAAACGTGGAATCACGGGGCTGGAGAAACGCTGTCTATTTTCAGACATGTGAATCCCTTCTTTTTACACTTTTATTCCACTGAAGCTCAGTTTTCACATCCAAGTGTGCACTCTGCTTTGAAATGTCCCGATCTGAACTGAAAGCTGCCAACGGATGAAAACCTACAGGATTGATGGTAATACATTTGCCTGGATTTCCACGGAAAGGGAAAGGGTTTTGCTCAGTCCTAGTGTTTTCCTCGTTTCCCAGTCTCTGCACTGTTTGCTGCTCTGGTTATACATTCAAATCCTGTCACAACCATCTATTTTTGCCAGACAAGGCTACAATACCAGTGGTCCTGGTGTCACCCTTGGATCAGCACCTTCCAGGAGAAGGTTTTCCGCAAAAAGCTTTAATCAAAGTCCCCCAGGGAACCCAGTGATTGACCTGCAGGCATGGAGACCCACCAGGTCTCGAGGCAACAACCCTCCAATTGCTGCAATTTGCCCTCAGAAAATAACAGACGGAAGACTCGTGGAAAACAACGTGTGGTGTTGGTGCATTTTGAGAAAGGTGGGCAACAATCAAGATGTCCCCAAAACAAATCCTTGAGTTTCTTGATGCCATGCTCAGCAGCAGTTGTGCTGGCTGTAGAAGTAGACTTTGTGCCACTAAGACATTGCTGACTATCTAAACCCCTGTGCAGGCGAACTAAAAGGCAGAAGACTCTCTCGCTTTTAATTTCTGGTGGTTTTTTTTTCCTTAGCAAGCCATGTCCAGTGAGCTCAGCTAAATCCCACCCTGCGTTATTTTCCTTCCCTGTTTTTGTCTCCTCTACCCACCGTGAGAAATCTAATTTTGCACCCAAGCATTTGCAGAACCTTAGCCACTGAACCCACTTTGCTCATCAAAACCTTGATCGGAGGAAACTCTGCAGCTTGATGGAGCTGGTAAACCGTGGAGAGAAAAGCCCAACTCTCATTGCTAAACTTGCTGCATGTACAACCCAAACACGTGTGCTGGCCTGCCATGCTGCACCTCACCCTTGGCTGGAAACAATCTCCCCATACTTGGGAAGGTCTCCCACTATATATACATATTTAAAAAAAAGAAAAAAAAGACCAAAAGTCTGTGCTCTTATTTAGCGCACTTTATCCCTCACTGAAAAACATCATCTGCCGTTTTGTCTCTGTCTGTTAAAACAGCACGTACCTTATAATGTGACTCTGTCTCCTCTTCCTGAGTAGAACTGGAGGGAGATGGTGTAGCGGACTTACTTCCCGGGGGCGATGGGGAACCGTGGGTAACACTGCTCCGCATCCCCATCTGAGAAATCAGCTGTGACTGGCTGAGAGCGCTCATGGGGCCGGCTAACATCCCGGGGCGATTGATCAGGGGCACTTGACGGTTGGACTCATAGGACGTGGCGTCCGAGTGGACCATCTCCTGGATCTGAGTTAGGAGAATATCACTTTGTAATTAAAAAATTTATTTGTTTATTTATTATACTATCAAATCACTTTAAGACAAACTCTTATTGACTGATTTAAAATTATTCCACATGGCTGGTAAAGTCTTCCTTGTGCCCCCTTCCAAACAAGCCAAGAGCAAGGACTGAATATCGTGCACCCAGGGCTCTCCTCCTGCCATCGCCCTGCCAATGGTCACTACAGAGAGGTGCTAAATTGTCTTTGTACAGAGGTCTGTGCGTCCAGGAGGTGCCACTGCCTGCCTCAGGGGCCAGTGGTGTCTGGCACCTACCGGGGGTCTGAAGGAAAAGTTCAGAAATGAGAAGTTTTTGGCCAAATCACCAGGAGAAGGCAAGGCGTTGCAACATCCTGGGCATTTCTGGGGCCAAGCCTTGCAGCTGCACACGTGAGGCCATCGCTGAGCACTGGCACATGTTGTGCCAGGGTATTCGGGGCCCCTGACAGTCCAGCCCTGGGACATCAGCAATGCAGTGTTAGAGGCCGTGGACCGCAACCACTCTCCTGCTGGGCAATACTTGGTATTGACATTTAGTAACCGCAGAGGTGAAAAAATACCTGCTTGTCTGAGTTTATGAAGATACCGCAACCAACCCTTCGGCACCATCTGTACAACTGGGAATTAGCATGTGATGGACAATGTCTTTCAAGAGAAACAATGCAGAGAGGTTGCTTTATCGTTAACAGGAGAGGCCAGTGTGCCTTGCACTACTGGGCCATTACTACGAACAGTCCTGTGCTTATTTATCTTACCATGACTCCTATGTAACAAGTAGAGGTTTCTTTTCATGTCATTGCTGACATGCTGTATAAAATCCAGAGCAGGACAAGGTAAAATGTGTGAGATAACTAGTTCAAGAGATACTTGCTACTTGAATATTTTTACTTGATTTACAGTTTTTCTTCTGACTGTATAACAGGTGGGAAAAATGGTAATCAATATATATATATATATTTTAAAAAGAATGACTGGCATAGAATCATAGAACAGAACCACAGAATCATTAAAGTTGGAAAAGACCTCCAAGATCAAGTCCAACCGTCAACCCAACACCACCATGCTTACTAAACCATGTCCCGAAGTGCCATGTCTACATGTATTTTGAACACCTCCAGGGATGGTGACTCTCCCAGCCCCCATTCCCACCATGCTGGTCTGCCCAAAGCTGTGACACTACCATCAAGCCAGAGGTTTGTACGTCCCCAAGCCCCAGAAGCCCCGAGCACCACAACATGCCCTGAGATGGACCCCAACTCCTGAGGGCAAGCTCTCCTGGTGGCCACCACCTCATTATGACTCTTCCTGGAGATGCCTCTTCCAATTTTAAATACCGCAATCAGCTCCAATCCCACTCAAAATCAAAGTAGCAGGAAAAAAAGTCCAGACGAGAAAGAAAATGATGAACTGCCTGTTAAGATTTCCCAGCGAGGGAAGGAATCAGAAGTGATGTAAGTGTGTGCATGCATGTAGGTAAGAGACAAGGGATTTGTCATGAGAGTTTTCCTCAAAAATGAAGAGTTTCCTAATACCTATTTATTTCAGAGGTTTCTTTTCATGTCATTGCTGACATGCTGTATAAAATCCAGAGCAGGACAAGGTAAAATGTGTGAGATAACTAGTTCAAGAGATACTTGCTACTTGAATATTTTTACTTGATTTACAGTTTTTCTTCTGACTGTATAACAGGTGGGAAAAATGGTAATCAATATATATATATATATTTTAAAAAGAATGACTGGCATAGAATCATAGAACAGAACCACAGAATCATTAAAGTTGGAAAAGACCTCCAAGATCAAGTCCAACCGTCAACCCAACACCACCATGCTTACTAAACCATGTCCCGAAGTGCCATGTCTACATGTATTTTGAACACCTCCAGGGATGGTGACTCTCCCAGCCCCCATTCCCACCATGCTGGTCTGCCCAAAGCTGTGACACTACCATCAAGCCAGAGGTTTGTACGTCCCCAAGCCCCAGAAGCCCCGAGCACCACAACATGCCCTGAGATGGACCCCAACTCCTGAGGGCAAGCTCTCCTGGTGGCCACCACCTCATTATGACTCTTCCTGGAGATGCCTCTTCCAATTTTAAATACCGCAATCAGCTCCAATCCCACTCAAAATCAAAGTAGCAGGAAAAAAAGTCCAGACGAGAAAGAAAATGATGAACTGCCTGTTAAGATTTCCCAGCGAGGGAAGGAATCAGAAGTGATGTAAGTGTGTGCATGCATGTAGGTAAGAGACAAGGGATTTGTCATGAGAGTTTTCCTCAAAAATGAAGAGTTTCCTAATACCTATTTATTTGTTTTCGTAATGCTAGAGTGAGGGGACATCTGATGGGACTGAAAGGCGACTAATCTCACAGGGCTGCAGGGGCACATGGACATGGCACAGGCCACCAGCACAAGCGCAGCGTCCTGAGGCTGCTGAGCCCAACTCTCTTGAAAGATTTGAAAGAAAAATGAAACACATATATATATGGCTATTAAGAAATGTCGAATGCTACATTAGACAAAATACAAGTATCTTGTGGAGTGTATATCCCCCTGTGGCATGGCATAAACCAAAGTTCTGGTGGTTGGGTCAGGTGGGAGCAGCAACAACCCCCTGTCCTGGCCAAGGAGCCTCAAGTTGTGCCAGGGCAGGTTTAGGTTGGACATTGGGAAAAATTCCTTCCCCGCAAGGGCTGTCAGGCACTGGAATGGGCTGCCCAGGGAAGGGGTCGAGTCCCCACCCCTGGGGGGGATTTAAAAGCTGGGCAGACGAGGTGCTTAGGGCCAGGGTTTAGTGGTGGGACAGCAGGGTTAGGGGAATGGTTGGGCTGGGTGATCTTAAAGGTCTTTTCCCACCCAAATGATTCTGTGATTCTATGAGATGAGATAGGGACAAACCCGGCCATGTTCTATGTGTATGGAAGCTTTTGGGGCTGCCCTGCTGTTTGCTGAGCAAAGACCTCATTTCCAGGTTGTACCATTTTCCCTGAAAACCCCATTTTCACCCCAGGATCCATCCCTGTCTGGCCACCCCCAGCAGCAGGACTCAGCCCCCCACAGCCCCTGCCGGCAGAGCCAAGCTGCCGGCACAGCCTCGTCCAGCCATGGAGGAAGCCAGTGGGAGGGAGAGAAAACCCTGCCTGAAACGTTTTCCAGACTTTTTCCCTTTTATAGTAATCTGATTAATGTTAACATGAGTTTAAAGACCCAGGCTTTATTTATTAACAATCCTCATTTCCGATAAGCCCGCTGAGGTGCGATCTCTCATTACCAGGGGAGGCTTGCCAACTCCATTAGAAGCACATACAGAGAGAAACCCAGGGAAGACCTGCAAGGGCTTGGTAGGCTTCAGAGGAAATAAATCCAAACGCAAAACCGGATTTACTGCTGCAGGTCAGGAATCAAGAGCTTTACCCAACACCCGACAGCATGTTCTGCTCCCTTTCGGATTCTCCATCAGTAGAGGAATGTGTTTCAGGGGAGCGCGTTTTCCTACATCTGCCCTTTTTCTGTTTTAATTACGAAGAGCGGGAATTTAATTTGCAGGAAGAAAATGATGTCTTGCATTTCAACAGCATGAGGATTCTGGCCGAGGCTGACTTAGGGGCCATGCTGAATTGCTGTCCTTGGCTTCGGGGGTTGCAAGGAAACACCCGGCCTACGGAGGCAGGGGGGTTGGCTTTGCTCCGTTGCGGAGCCGAGGAAACTCACTGCTGCTTGAACTACGGCAAGGTTTATGTGCCCTTAAAACCTGCTGTATTGCAGAGGTCTGGCCTTGCCTTGCCACACGCTGCTGCGTGGGGAACCCTGGCCAAAAAGCCATTGAGGACGTGCACACTGCAGCCAAGCAAGGTGGGGATGGACACCGGGCTTGGGCAGCACCGGAGGCATCAGAGTGGCAATTTTTGTATTTGCAATTGAATTTACGAATGTCGTGGCAATGGCGAGGGGTGAGACAGGCAGCGCTGGGGAGTCTGCAAGGTGGGGAGATGGGTCAGCACCCATCTGCCATACAAGCAGCCAAGCTCCTTCCCAAATTCCAGCGAAAAAGGTACATTTGTCTTGGATTTTGTCAGTTTAATTCAGACCTTTCATGTTGGAGAAGATCTGCCAGCTGCTAAGGAAAAGAATAATTTATTGTCCTTATTTTAAATTTAAATGAAGAAAAAGTTTAGAAGATGGGTGTTTTAGAAATGGGGAAGGCTATGAAACGTGGCTTAAAAATTTTTAAAATTTAAAGTAGCTCATTCACATTTGCAGCCATGGCAGTCTCTTGGGCAAATACTGTATTAAGACAATTTTTTTTGAAACTTTTATTATGTGGCCAATAGACCACAACGGCCCCGTTTATCCATTAAATATGTAATCATGCACTTTTTCTTTACAGTGCATGTTATTTATGCATCAGAGCAGAACAAGTCCAGGAGTGCAATTATGGATATGGGACACGTGCTGCAACTGCTTATGAAAATTTGTAGGAAAAAACAGAAACCTGAGCCCTGGCTCAGAGAATCCATGCGGAAGCCTCCTGCTGACAGTGACCCAACCACAGCCTTCTCTTAAAAAGTGGAGACGCTGCATTTTTCCTTGGAGATCCCCCGCCCAGGATGTCTTAGCCGAGAGGCCTCCTCCCAAGCAGCTGCCTGTTGCTTTACATCATTAAAAACTGGTGGTTTTACCTAATACTTTTGCTGAATATTGCTGGTTCTGACCCCTCTCCCACGTCTCCATCCCTTCTACCCCCCAGCCAGGAGGTTTTGCAGAAGAACATGTACAGCCATGCTCCTTGCATCATGAGACCGCTGTCTGGAGGGGTAGGACCTGGCCCCACCATTTGCCACTCACTAAATTTCTCTCTGCTTCCCTTGCTTTAAAAAAATGCAGTTTTGGAAGCAACAGGCCAGGCTGCCACCTCCCTGTAGCCCCTGCCCATGGTTCTCAATGTCCTCAGGACAGGTGAAGGCGAGCA